TTAATTACTTCCTTAGGATAAATTCCAAGAAAATGAATTGCTGGGTCAGAAGGTAAACATATTTTTTAAAGCTTTTAATAAATATTGCCAAACTGACATTCCCACCACAAGTGTATGAGAACATCTGCTTCCTTGCGTCTTTGCCAACAGTGAGTTCTGTCATTCCTTTTTAATCTCTGCAAATTACACTGGAGAAAATGGTATGCCGTTCTAATTCCCCTTTATTTGACTACTGCTGAGATACATGTTTACTGGCCATTTGCATTTCTTCTTTGATATATTTCCCTTTGCACATTTTCCCTCGACCTTTGTACATTTTTCTAGTAGAATATTTGTTTTTTCTTATTGCCCTGTTAAGTCTTTGTGTTACAGATAATGAATCTTGCTGCAATTGTTTTTGTTTTCTCATTAACTTTATGGTTTGTGCAGAAATTTTAAATTTTCATATAATTGATTATATTAATCTTTTTCATTATTCTACCTTTGATATTATGCACACAAATATCTTCCCTATCCCCAAGATTATATACATAGTCTTCCATATTTTTTTAGTTCCTTTATCATTGCCCTCTCTCAAAAAAAAAGAAAAAACTATTTATTGCCGTAGTTCTAAAACAGGATTGCAATGCTCAGGTCTTAAGACTGAATCACAATTTGGGGGAATGGGGACCTGAGTAGGAATATTTTTTAAAGCACTACAGGTAATTCTGATGCCCCCTCCTCTATTAAGAAACATTATATTAACCCTTCTAAATTTATGCTGTCATTTTTTCCAAATTACTTCAGCACACGTGTTAAATAAATCATTTCATTAATTTGAAGTGCTACCTTTATCATGGTTGATAAGCTCCATGATAGTAGAGACCATACCTGTTTCCACTGACCATTGCATTTCTAGGGCCCAGCAGAGTGCCTGCTGTACAACTAGTGTTCAATAAATGTTAATGGAATAAATAAATAACACCTGACAACACAAGTCTCCAACTTCAAACTGGCTGGAGGTTATTAATGATAACCCTGAGTTATCAAAAATATTAAATTATGCTCAGTACACTGTTTAAAGTGGCCAGAAAAATATATTAGAGGGCTCCATTAAGTGAAGTCAAAATAACATTGGCCCCATTTAAGCGGTATGGGAATTCAGATCAAATTCTCCATGGAGGAACCAGACAGCAATGAGCCAAGAACCTAAGGAGATTTGGGTTCCTGTAGTCCTTAAGGTTCCTCAACAAGCTCTAGAGACTGACTCAGAAGCTTCCTTGAGCTGAGAACAGACTCATGCATTCCCTCTTCCATGAGCCCACAGAAAGAATACTGGAATAGGGAATTAGGTGACCTGGATCCTTTTTTTTTTTTTTTTTTTTTTTGAGACAGAGTCTCGCTCTGTCGCCCAGGCTAGAGTGCAGTGGCGTGATCTTGGCTCACTGCCAGCTCTGCCTCCTGGGTTCACGCCATTCTCCCGCCTCAGCCTCCCGAGCAGCTGGGACTACAGGCGCCCGCCACCACGCCCGGCTAATTTTTTGTATTTTTAGTAGAGACAGGGTTTCACCGTGTTAGCCAGGATGGTCTCGATCTCCTGACCTCGTGATCCACCCCACCCAAAGTGCTGGGATTACAGGTGTGAGCCACCGCGCCCAGGCGCTAGATGTTTTCTAAGGATCTTTTCAAGTCTAAACTTCTATTTAAAGACCCAAACAGACAACCACAGGACAGGGCTTACGAGGACAACCTGAAATTACCTCCACAGAACAAGGTCCCTGTCCCACCCCAGGTTATAGGAAAATAATAGAGACAGTAGTAATAACAGCTATTGCTAAATTTTACTGAGCACTTACTATATGCTAAATAATATTCTAAATGTCTCACTATTATAATAATGGCACACACTTATATGGCATTTACTATGTTCCAGTAAATGTGCTCTGCATATATTAGCTTAATTTGTCATCACACCAAGTCTATCAGGTGTTCTGCTTTTCCCCCTTTTCAAAAATTGATATATAATAGCTGTACATATTTTGGGGGTATATGTGATATTTTGATACATGCATACAATGTGTAATGATCAAATCAGAGTAATTGGGATATCTATCACCTCTAACATTTACCTTTTCTTTGTGTTAGAAACATTCCAAGTTTTTTCTTCAAGACATTTTGAAATATATAATAAATTATTGTTAACTGTAGTCTCCCTACTGTACTATTGAACACTAGAACTTTTTCATTCTCTCTAGCTGTATGTTTATATCCATTAACCCACTTCTCTTCCTTCCCCAACCTCCTTCCCTTCCCAGCCTCTGGAAACCACCATTCGACTTTCTACCTTCATGAGATCCACATTTTTTAGCTCCCACATATGAGTGAGAATATGCAGTATTTATCTTTCCATGCCTGGCTTATTTCACTTAACATAATGACTTCCAGTTCCATCCATGTTGCTGCAAATGACAGGATTTCATTCTTTTTATGGCTGAATAATATTTTGTTGAATATATGTAACACATGTTTTTTATCCATTCATCCAGTGATGGACACTTAGGTTGATTTCCTATCTTGGCTATTGTGAGTAGTGCTGCAATAAACATAGGAGTGCAGCTGTCTCTTCAATACTGATTTCCTTTCTTTTGGCTATATACTCAGCAATGGGATGAGTTATATTGCTATCTCCATTTTGTAAAGGAGAAAACTTGCACACAGAGGGATTAAGTGACTTGCCCAAGGCCTCGTAGCTACCAAGTGACGGAACCAATGGAGTGGAACTCAGACCCACACATATAACTATCATACCACACTGCTTCCAAACTATCATCGTATTTTGCTGGTTACTTCAGAGGTTACCCAAAACAAGGGATAAGCTGCAGTTACCCAAAGAGCTTACTTATACGGAACACTCCCCTCTTCACTAATGCTGGAAAAATGAGGTTTCACTTCAATGTAATTTTAAGCACATCTGATTTCAGGACCTGGGCTTGCAAAATACATTATTTACTATGAAAATATGACATTATGATTAAGAGTTGTTAAACATTAAAATGTTTTTATTATAAAATAAATCATTAACTAGTAATGACATTTCCATTAACTACAGAGAAAAAAAATACAAGCTCTTTATGCACCATCAGGGACAAAACTTTAGATCCCCATCTGTGCCAACCTCAGTTCTGTACTTTCAAAACTGTCTTTGAAACATCAACCTGACAGCCCACAGGTGTCTCAACCCAAACAGGTCATCCAAATTCAGTGTACCATCCCCATGCCCATCAGCTGCCTCTCATGCTCCCCATGCCAGAGAATGGCACCAGTGGCCCCCAGGCACCCAAGCTGGTAGTTAATCCAGGCCCATTTCTTGCCACATCCACTCACAGAATATTCTAGAATTCCATTATCTCTAACCTTTCTGCCCCTGCTTCTGTTCAGACCCTTACCATCTCTCCCCTAAACTATTCCAGAAACCTCCTGACTGACTCCTAGTTTTCACCATTTCCAGCTCAGCACTGCTGCCAAAGTAATCTTTCTAAAACAAAATCTGATTATGTTACTTCCCTGTTTAGAATCTTTGTCTTCAGGATAAAGTGTAAAATCCTTCCTAGAACATACAAGGCTCTTTATTATCTGGCCTCCAACTACCTTCCCTGCTTCGTCTGAGGTCGTGCCCCTACACATCTCACATGAGGCAAACAGAGCAACTTGGAACTTCCCAAACAGTGCTGCTCTGTCTGCCCAGAATGCAATTCTCTCATTTGCCCATCTGGCAAACTCCTACTCATTTTTTTAGACCAGCTCAAAACTCAGACTTCATCAAGCTTTTCTCGGGGCTTCCTTTGCTTTTTGTACCTCTCTATTCTAACTTATTCAACGTGGCGAAATTATTTGTTTATGTGTCTGTCTTTAGATGACAAGGAATCTTCTAGCATCCTGCAACTTATTCATCTCTGTATTTCGTTTGTTGAATGAAAGAATGTCTCAGGATTTAAGCAAGAATATCCAAACTGCTCTTGATAAACGCCCATTGTGTGAGTCAAAGCAAGCATACAGGCCAAATCCCGTTTCCATAAATGTCTTCAAATTGATAATCTTTATACATGGAAACTACTTGTTACATTTGTGTGCGTACATAAAGTCACAACCAACACAATGAAACATTTTTAAAAGATACATTCGACCACCAACTAACCAACCTGCTGAATATTTCTAGATATTCAAGCTATTTCATTCTACTCCATTTAAGTGGTCTTTAACTTTTTATGGGTCACAGGCCAATTTTGGTAGTGTTTGTCATCATTTCTTAAACCCACACTCACTTTTGATAACCATAAAAATCCCACATAACCCTGGAGATTCCTAAACCCTCCAAAGGGCACAAGCCTCAACCCCACTAAAAATAAAACATAATTTTGTATGTGGTAGGAATTCACAAGTTCATGAGAGATGTAATACATCAGCTAAGATACTACTGAGCTTTGCTCTCAGGTAGTTCATATTATTAAAATAGGCATTTTCCTTCTCAATGTTTATATTGTATCAAATATAAACATAAACACTGTAACATTAAATATGCTCTTTCAAACTGCATACATCACAAAGTTTTTATTGGGAAGATGAAGCTGGAGAGGCACTGACATCTGTCTCCCCAACCTTATGGTGGGGAATCTTATGATAGAAATTTGCCAGAAACAAATGAAAAACGCAAATGGGAAAAAATATCCTGTCTCCTGGCATATAACCCCCCAACGATCACTTGTTTAAATGAAGGGAGTTCTTTTAAATGTTGCTGGCATGCCATTTTCCTACTTCTCCTCCAACCCCACTTTTAAATAATTTAAACTTATAGCTAGCAGCAGCTTCTTTTTAAACTAATGTGTTTTGTCCTTCCAAAGACAAAGGGTTAAATTAAAGAACAGCTGGCTGCCTGCCATTGGCTGGGTGGGGAATGGTTGGGTGAGGGTAGAGAATAGAGTAGGAGGAAAAACCAGTTAGAAGAATAAGTGCTAATTTCTTACCCTGCCACATGGCCATCTTGATCCTATCTTCACCCACTCTGGGGTCGCAGGCTGAGTTTCCCAGAGCCACTCAGTTTTATAGGGAGACTTGATAAGAAAGGCAGCTCTGTGGCTCTGTTTTCTGCAAGGTGCTAAAGCCCCAAACCTGAAAATGTAAACAGAAAAATGAAAACCTAAAAGAAACTATACACTTTAAATGCTTGAAAATTATCTCCTGCCCCTCTCCGAACCTCTCTTTCAAAGATATGCAGGCATGGGTAGTGTCAAGTTTCCCTCTAAGCAGCAAGGTATCTCTGAAGACAGAGAACACCAGAGATCTGGAGCGAGTTAATGCTGCCACTCAGTGCTATACAATGCTGCATGAATCACTGGAGCCTCAGTAAATAAGTTCTGAGTCTCAGTTGGTGAGATGCTGCATGAAATCACCATTAAGCACCTTTCCTACCTTGAAGTTTCATGCTTTGGAGACTGAAGAGCTACATTAATATCCAGTGCCCTAACCAACTCCCAAAATACCCAAAATACCCAACTTTACATTTAAAAATCAGTAGAAGGAGAGGAAAGTTTATGAATACTTAAAGTTTGGAAACAGATCTTGTATGGGGGGGAAAAATAGAAGCAGAATAAAAAGCGAAGAGTGATGATACCCTTTGAGTAGTAGTTCTTTCTCTTTGTGTCATTATACTTCCCCACCCTTTGCAAATTTCCTATAGTGAGCATATAGTGCTTTTATAAATCGGGGGAAAATGAACCAAAGAAGAAGAAAAATGTAAAAATGGAATACCAGTTCAAAGAAAACCAAATTAATTCAGCTAATTCCCGTTGTTAAAACTTCAAATCCAGTCAAAGGACAATACTATTTACAAAGATATTAAAGGAGTTAGGGGCCGCGTGTGGTGTAATCCCAGCACTTTGGGAGGCCGAAGCAGGCAGATCACCTGAGGTCAGGAGTTCGAGACCAGCCTGGCCAACATGGTGAAACCCCGTCTCTACTAAAAATATAAAAATTAGCTGGGCATGGCGGTGCACTATAATTACAGGTGGCGCCTGTAATCCCAGCTACTCGGGAGGCTGAGGCAGGAGAATCGCTTGAACCCGGGAGGGAGGCAGAGGTTGCAGTGAGCCAAGATTGTGCCACTGCACTCCAGCCTGGGTGACAGAACGATATCTGTCTCAAAAAAAAAAAAAAAAAAAATTGGAGCTAGGAATGGGAGAAAAAATGAGAGGTCTGACGACTTAGTTTGACTTAGAGGCTTAACACTCTGCTTGTCCATTTAAACAAGATCTCAGTTAATAAATTGGTCTTCCCTACTTAGCATACAAGCCAATCTGTTTTTTCTAAAAGTCTTCACCTTTTTGACCTGGTGAACATTAAAGTAGATTGCTATTTCCATATCTTTTATACAACCAACGCCTCCGCCTCCTAAGTGAAAGCGCTAAAGCACAAACACTGAAGGCTAATACTAACGTGAGAATCGTGTTGGCCTTCTTTAATGACAAAAGGGTTAATGTGTACACCAGTCCCAAAACACCAACAGAGAAAAGACAGTGCTTTGGACAAGGAGAAGTTCGCGAAGTCCAAGAAAACTAGGAACTCACAAACTCCTAGGGTGAATTCGCCAGGAAAAAGCGCTCCGATGACTTATCTGAGACCTGAGACAGTCTGTTTTGATTTGCCTTTTTTTCTTCTCCTGTTTCGCGTGCAGTTAAGAAGTAATGATCGTCGTCCCGTGGGACTAGGCGAAATTCAACATCTCTGAAATTAAACCCGAGCAGTTGCTAATAAATGTATGAAGTTTAAGTAAAGTGGATTCGTGCTGGTTTTTTATGCTCCAAACTTCTAGATTTCCCGCACTTACTCAGGGCAGCTTCCACTGACGTTATCGCACGGGCACAGGTACAACTTCGCTGGGAACTCCGGGCAACTGATTTGCTCTGAAATGTTAATCAAAGGAAACGTGCGTAAATGTAAAGGTAAAGCTTTTCCCGTATGGGTCAAGGGGCTCAAGAGCAAGGCTCGAAAGTCTGGAGAGAACCAGCTACGCTCGTTAAGTGGCAAAAGGAAAACAGCGCAGCGACTACTTTTCCGAGAGAGTTTCTCCACTTCGCCAAGACCCATACAAAACCAGCGGCAAGTCCAGAGCCGGAGGGAGAAGAGCCGGGCCTCGGCTGAGCTTTGCCAGCCTAAGTCACCCTACCCCAGTCCGGGAAAGGGGACGCAGGCGGCTAAACACTCCGATTCAAAAGCGGGGCGGGCTTGGCGCCGCTCCGCAAGGAAACTTCACTCGGGCAGCCCAGGGACCTTACTCGGAGAATAGGGCTGGGCTCCCGGGAAGACGCCGCTCCGCACTGGCTGGAACTAGCCTGTCTAGCTCTTCCAAGCGCCGGGCTGCCGCCGCTGGGCGCGAGGAAGCCCCATCTCCGGGGGTCCAAGCCAGCGGGGTTGCGCTTCCCCTGTGTCGATGCGCTTAGTGGGTGCTCCGGCGGTGGGCCGGGGGCCAGTGGCCCGCCAAGGACCTGTTGGGGAAGGGACAGCCCGTTTGCCTTTACCTATCGCCGAGGTCAGGAGCGGCGGAGTCCGTGTCCGCCGCCGGTGGGCAGCGCGCTCGGTCGGCTCTGGCGTCCAGGACACCAAGTTGAGTGAGCGCCCCACGTAGCCGGCAGAGCTTCATTCACACAGCCCAGCCGGGGAGGAGGGGGAGCGAAGCGGGCGCGCGGCTCATGTGACAGGGCGCCTCGCGAGTATCGGCTCAGCGCAGCCAGCGTCTGCGCGTGCGCGCCACGGCGGGCTCACACCCGGCACCTCTGCCCAGCGGAGGTGAGGGGAGGCCCACCGGGGAGGAGCTGACAGGAGGAGTTTCAACTTGCGCAGCCGCAGTACGTCGCCCCCGCTCGCTGCCATATTTAATGAGTACTGGGCGGGCGGGTCCTATCCCAGTGCTGGGCGTGTCAGTTGCCTTTGAAAACGCAATGCCCCATTGTGTTTCAATATTTCCAGTTTTCAGCGCCTTTTTTTGTTGGGGAGAAGGGTTGTCCTTAGAATAAAACTGTCTATCCTGCGCTTTCGGCCCACAGAGTAATTAGTAGTAGAAATCTAATACTAATAACATTAGATCACATAATTTAAGCTTCTTCTTATGTGTCAGGCACGCTCCTAAGCCCTTTACTTTTTTCGTCTCATTTGGTGTTCACAATAACCCCGAGGGGTATTTCTCCATTTTTACTCATAAAAATACACAGGTACAGAAAGGTTAAGTAACTTGCCTAAGCTCATATAATAGTAGGAATAGGAACAGTGATGGAATGTAGTGATACTTTTAATAGCCAACTTGATGCTCTCAGCAACACTGCAAAAACTATACTGCAGTTGTTAGTAGTACATTATCTAAGAGGCTCAGAAAAGAAAAAGTCACAGGACTAGTAAGTGGTAGAACTGGGAATCCAACCTAGGTCTAACTGACCCCAAAGCCCTTACCCTAGGTTTGAAAGAAATAGCACCCCGTTTTGCAGAAGAGAAAACTTAGGCCAAATGGGGTGCACTGACTCACTTAAGATGATCCAGCTAATTAGTTCTTGGCAGACCTGAGACTGGAATCCATATAATCAATCCAAGTAATCTAACTAGAACCCAGGTACTCTACTGCAGTGAACAATTTGGAATGCCTACTTTGGACAAGCTAAGTGGTCAGGGATTTAAAAACCCCTCTCCTAGCCCAATCAGCATAAGGCTACCAGGGACAAATCTGTAATCCGACATAGTCAGGCTTTGACCCATTGCAATATGAGAGACTGCACACCAGAGAAACCATGGGCATTTCATCAAACAGAAAAACATAGAGTCATTTATAGGATTGGAGAGAAGAGTGGAGTTTAGGTGAATTTTAAACAAAGCAGTGTTTTTGGTAAGCTCAAAGCAAAGCAGTACTGTCATTTGGGGTCACCATCAGGTCTGAACTGCAAAGTGAACCCAGAGTTGTGTTTCCTTGGGAACCACAAAATAAAGATAGATGTGGAATGTTGTGTCCAGATACCCCTTATCTGAAGCTCCGCACCTGGGTTGGAAATTGAGGCTGCTTCTCTGTGTCAAAGAAACTTATGTCCTCCAGATGCATGTGGGATGTTTCATTCTTACTGATATGATTTCAAGCAGAAGAATTTCTGATAATCTACGATTTTAGGGAACAAAGTCTCTCAGTGAATAAAAAAGTGGTGGTCACTGAAATAAAAACATCTTTACCACTTTACAGCTGCAATATGTCCGCCAAAGAAATATTGTTCTCTGTTAAATTTGCATCTGGTTTTATCTGTGTGTTATTCCAGCCTGATGAATGGCTGGATTTTTGTTTTCTCAGCCCAAAATAATTCTTGCTTTCTGAACTGGTAACATTCAGTTCCTTCCTTCAGGCACTCATGGTGTATGGGATAGCCACAAATGACTAGAAAATATTAGTATCAGAAAATATCAGTACAGGCCTCTAATAAAGGTAAATCCAAGTGGAGGTAACACCGACGGCAAAGATGAGCAGGCAGGAAGTTTTATGAGGACCCATGAGCAGTCCTTTGTGGTTGAAGTTTAGGGTAGGGAAGTACAGGGGAATTGTGGAAGATAATACCCAGAAGGTCAATTGGGGCCCAATTTTGGAGGTCCTGAATATTGGACTAAGACTTATACTTAATTCAGAAAGTGACTGAGAAAGAATTGAGGTTTCTGAGCAAGGCAATCCCCTTTTGGAATTCATCTTTAAAAAGGTGAATCTAGAGTAATTGTTCAAAGAGAGGTCTGATTGTTTGCTTGATTTTTTTTTTTTCTCTCATTGAAGTAGAAGAAACTGGAGCTTATATGTAGGTCGAGCAGAAAAACTACTGGTGAAATCAATACTAAAGCGGCAAGAGGCTGGGTGCGGTGGCTCACGCCTGTAATCCCAACACTTTGGGAGGCCAAGGCGGGTGGATCACCTGAGGTCGGGAGTTTGAGACCAACCTGGCCAACGTGATGAAACTCCATCTCTACTAAAAATGCATGACTAGGCATGGTGGCCAGCGCCTGTAATCCCAGCTACTCAGGAGGCTGAGGCAGGAGAATCACTTGAACCCAGGAGGCAGAGGTTGCAGTGAGCCGAGATTGCGCCATTGCACTCCAGCCTGGGAAACAAGAGCGAAACTCTGTCTCATATACACACAAAAAAGAGGCAAGAAAAGGAGGGGATAACTAATGGAGTAAAATAATTGAGAGGAGAGAAATGAGATTCAAAACACAAACTAACCTCAGACACCTCTTCCTCTGATACAGGAAAAAACGGGTTGAAGGATGGCAGTCTGGTTGGAAGGAGACATGTCACGAAACTGCCTCTGCAAAGCAAACGTATTGGCTTTACTTAAAGTACATACAGGTTTATTTGGGAGAGCTGGGGAGCGAGTGGGAGGGGGTGGGAGGGAGCAAGGAATTGGGGGGGAATTGGGAGTTATAAGAGGGCTGCAGTACATCCATGTTACCACTTGGTGTCGCCACTGACCGATGACAGCTTGGAGGGCTCCAGTTGGGGACCAAATCTCCCCCTCCCCCCAAAAAATGTGCATTTCAAAAAAAGAACATTTTATCTTTTGCGAATTGCAAAACAAAACAGAGAGTGAGCTCCAGAACCACACTGCCTGGGCTCAAAGCCAACCATACTCAGACGCTTACTAGCTGTGTCACCTTGTTCAAGTTATCTAACTTCACTGTTTCAGGTTTCTTACCTATAAAATGGGATAATAGGAGTAAATGTATTAACAGATGTAGAACAGTTAGAACAGATTAAGCACTCAATAAATGCTAGCTTGTATTACTATTGATAATGATAATGATGATAATGAATATTATCCTTCAGCCTTTGGATCCCCAAGTTTTTCAGAAGCTATTTGTGTGGTGAGTATAAATGCCTATACAATACCTTCCCAAGCGAAGTGGTGAGAGTTTGGTGCTAATGTGGCAAAATTAACAGTTCAATCAAGAGGTACAGATTCTGACTGTTAACTTGTTTTCTTTCCCATGGCTCAGACCACTCTCTACAGAAATCCAGCCAGGTGTCTCATGTGTTTGTGCCCATGGTCATGAGTGGGTTTGGCCAAGAGAGTGAAGATAGATCAGCATAATGAGTCCCCTGCTCTCCTCCCCCTACCCTGGAAAAAACTGAAAAGATGTTCCCACCCCACCTCCCATGACGGTCAACAAACTGTTAACAGGTCAAGAGCCATTTCAGGTCTTATAGAGCAAAGAGTAAATACATTGTGATCTTAAAGCTTATTTAAAAAAAAAAAAAAAAAGGGAATTTCTCTGTATAACAAAAGGTAACACTTTAGACTTAATATTGCAAAAGAAAAACCTTTAGAACAATAGATCACAGTGACACCTAAACTATCATGTCTAAATGCAGCTTTAACTTTCATTTTAAAATTGGCATTGCAAATAGAGACAGATAGTTAGATGAATACGTAGCCATGTAGAGTAGTGAGTGTTTCTTGTATGGTTCTTATTTATTTGTTTCAGATTTTTTGAGCCCTTACTATTATGCTAGTCATTGTGCTAGCCGCTAGAAATACTGATTTTAAAGTAAAATTTCCCGAGTGCCTAAGAAATGCCTGGGATAGTTCTAGAAAAAAAAAAAATGGGGCAGAATAAAAGAAAATGAACAAAGTTCTCTAGCTCAGGGGATCTATCAAAACAGTAGGTTAGGAAATCCTGATAACAAAGTGATCCGAAGTCATTTGTAGTTGCCCTGTGCCTGGAGAGCAGGGTATCAAAATTAGCAGGTGGCTTCTATACCAAAATGGATAGCCAACCTCATAACTGGAGAAATGCTACTGAAAGCTACCATGAGATACCATTGGCAAAGTTTTAAATATTTATAATAGTTTGTGTTGGCTGGGCACAGTGGCTCATGTTGTAATCCCAACACTTTGGGAGACCAAGGTGGGCAGATCACTTGAGGCCAGGAGTTCGAAGCCAGCCTGGCCAACATGAAGAAACCCCATCTCTACTGAAAATACAAAAATTAGGTGGGTGTGGTGGTGCATGCCTGTAATCCTAGTTACTCGGGTGGCTGAGGCAGAAGAATCGCCTGAACCCGGGAGGCAGAGGTTGCAGTGAGCCAAGATCGCACCACTGTACTGCAGCCTGGGCGACAGAATGAGACTGCTTCAAATAATAATAATAAAAATAATAATAATAATAATAATAATACACTGTGTTGACAAAGCAGGGGTGGGAGGGCAAGTCCTCTCATAAATTGTTGGTTGGAGTGCAATTAGTCAATTGAGGGCAGTTTTGTAATAACTATAAAAACTATGAATATATGGGACTTTGATCCCAAAATTTCATTTCCAGAAATTTCTTCTTCAGTTATGTTTGCATGGGTGTAAAATGCTATATGAACAAAGTTATTCACTGTAGCATTGTTTGTAATAATAAAAACTGGGAAGCAACCAGATGTCCCTCAATAGGGGACTGATCAAATAAATAATGGTGCATCTCTCCAGTGGAAAAAAAAAAGAATGAGAGGCCGGGTGCGGTGGCTCACACCAATAGTCACAGCACTTTGGGAGGCCAAAGTGGGAGGATCGCTTGAGCCCAGAGGATCAAGACCAGCCTGGGCAACATAGTGAGAACTTGTCTCTAGAAATAATACAAAAATCAGCCAGGTGTGGCATCACACCTGTGGTCCCAGTTACTCAGGAAGCTGAAGTGGGAGGATCGCTTGAATCTGGGAGT